ATATATATATATATATATATATATATATATATATATATATATTATATATATAAAATATATGAAGTGTATGAAAAACAAAAATTAATCATTTAAAAAATGTATATATTTCAAGAAAATATTTTCAAGTTTGTATAAAAATAATAAATAAAAATAAAAGTATTTTTTACATTATTTATACATTTAAACAAAAATAAATATAAAGTATTTAATATATTAATACTAGAAATAATTAAAAATAAATGCTAAATTAAATATAAAAATTTATGAAAATATTTTTTAAGTATATTTTTTTATATTTGAAAATAAAATATCAAGGTCAAAGAAAAAATAAAAATGCAAAAAATAATGAAAATACAAAACAATGGGCCAGGGGGTGCTGAAAGTGAATTGGGAGGTGTCAAAAAGTAAAGAAAATCCAGGCCCAGCCCAGACTTCATCTTCAACCTCCAGAAGTTTGAAAAACGCGCGTTTTCCACACAAACCTGTATCTCCTGTTTCAGTGATCCTTTGACAAAACTCAAAACATGAAACTTGTAGAGCATCAAACAACGAATCTAACCATATAAAAAACTTAAGCTAACTCTCAAAGACCAGAGAGAATTTCTCTGGCCCTAATTCTTAACCTAGTTTTTTCAGAAAGTTCATGAACAAAATTCTCCTAGCACGATTAATATAAATGAACACTAAGCACGTGTATGGTTTCAGGGTTATGAGTACAACATCTTTCATTCACAAACCTAAGTCTAACTATTCCTACATAGAGAGATAGAAGTTCATGAAATACCTGTTTCAGTTGACTTCGAGCTGGACAATGCAGCAACTTCCAAGAGTGCTTGAGGTTCTTTTGAGCTTGCCTGATGTCCAATGCAGCTTTCCCAATGCTTGGCTTGTTTTGAAGTAGCCTGAATCGTGCTATAGAACTCAACCTGCAAAGCTTCCAAACAAAAATGGCAATGTGTGTTAATGGAGTTACAACAACTTGTGGATGGTCTGGATAGCTCATGTATGTTGGTTGGAAGGTGTTTGAAGTAGCTTTGGGCAAAACGTACGATGGAATTTGATGATGGCTTGCAAAATGCAGAACTGGCCCTGTTTTGCAAGAAAATTAGGGTTTTGGAGTATGAGGATGCTTTAGGGGTGAAAGGCTCGTGCTTCTGACTTGTGAGGATGTATGAAACTTGTTTTAAAACTTTGCTTTAGTTCAATATAACAGATGTGCAAGTTCTGAGCTTTTGGCCATTTGACTTGATTTGAAAGCAAAGTTGTGAACTGTCCAAGCTAGGGCCTGTACAGGCTAGTTACAAGCATGCTTAACTTGGTGTACTATGCCTGAGATTAGGGAAGTTGTTTGCTGCAAGGAAAAAAGTTCAAGGCTCAAGAAAATGGAAATTGACATAAAGTGGCCTTTATGAAAATGGAAGTATGACCTTTATGCTCAAAATGGAAAAGTTCAATGTACAAAGCTCTCTTGATCAGAACAATGCCAATATCCAATATTTTTTGCATTCAATTTTGGAGTGTAAGTTGGTTTAGAGGCCTGTAATCATGTACTAAGCTAGTTTGGTCAGATTTGCAACTTGGTATGAACATGTATTGGCCATGGTTTCAAAGTGAGTTTTTGCCAACTTCAAGCATTCGATTCTCCCTATACACAAAGGTGTTTGAGGAGTTCTTGGACAATTTGGAAAGCTTGCAACATGTACTATAATCCATATTTGAAATGAAACTTGAAACTCCAAGTGGAACTATGTGAAAAATGGCCAAGAAGATGGGTCAAAATCCTGCCTAAACTAGGGCAAAATTTCTCTAAGTTAAAAGTTTTAGGTACCCTTGTTCCAAAAATCATAACTTGAGATACAAGCTTCTTTTGAGAAAACTTTGTGAATCAAAGTTGTAGAATTTGTGATGGAATACAACTTTCATGTTGCAAGTTTTGTTTGAATCCATTTGCATCTTGGTGAAAAAATGGGACAAAGTTAGGAAAAAAATAAGAAAATTTTATAACTTAGAAACTTTCTAAGTTATGAAATTTTCCCATTTTAAACCCTAATTTGCATTTTTGGGTTTCTTGATGAACAAGTTTCATAATTTGGCATGTATTGATTAAAAATTACCCTTGTCATTTGATTTTGACTAAAAAGTCAAAGTTCGAC